ACTGGAGCACAATATTCTTATATTGTGGAGCAACTGCCTTCTTGGGAAAAGAGTGGCTTCATTTAGAAAAGTAAGATTTTTCAGCTTTATAGAGAAGTAATGATAAAAAGCAAAAATGGAGAGATATTTTGGAAAACAAGTGGTTTTTCCTTGCTGGTATAGAAACTAATCTCAAAATCACACAAGTTGTGAGAAATCTAGACATCAGTGCTTGCAGAAGGAGATGCATCTTCTGATGACTTTGTTCATGGCTCCGAGTCCCTTAGAAGAAATGACCTGTCAACTGAGAATTAAAATATTCCATGTTCTTTGGAAAATTGTCTACCAAGTCCAGGATGTATGAAGTATATTGTGGATAATTCATTCAAAAACTACAAGAAGAAAAATAACCTTAATTTCTCTTATGCTCTGTTAGTTTTCCTATTGCTTGGAGAAATTCCGTAATGCACACAACTTAGAGGAGGAAATATTTGGCCCATGACTTCAGTGGATTCATTGTATGGTTAGCTGTGTCCAAGGCAGGACTTTTATGGTGGGGGCCAGGGCATAATGGGACTGGTTCATGATGGCTGGGAAGCAGAGTAGGGGTGCCGCACCAGAGAGGAAGGGGCCTGCACACGAGTGCATTACCCAAGGTCTTCTCCATGCCATAGACTGTGCCCAGTTGTACACTTCCATGACCCTCCCAGACTTGCTTTATTGATTGTCTAAGCAACTATGCCAGAAGGTTAACACAATCAGTCTAACCATCACATTTTATCCTTTGTCAACTTCATATACAAATACATCCATTAAACAATAATCTCCAAATAAATGCAATATAGGAATTGGCTGATAATTCCACCTAACATGACATGACTGTCTTGTATACAACTAAAAATGCAATAAGCCACCCTCAAGAAATATTAGCAGTTCCAAAATTATACTAAGTCTGAGAGAAAGACTCCTTTGAGAGTCAAGGCAAACTCTTATCTGTGACCCTTGTGAAAACGGCCACAGCAAAAAAGCATGCTGGTGCAGGATAAACATTCCTATTCCAGAAGGGTAGGATAGAGGATAAGAAAAGGAGAGAGCCAAAGTCTATTGAAGCCAAGCAGGGCAAACACTAAGTTCTTAGCTCTATATCGGACTTCCAGTGGCCTACTGGTGATGGAAGAGACCTAGAGGGTTTGGGCAGCCCCATCCTTCCCTGTGAACCTGCTGATTGCTCTCCACATGGAAAAATATTTTTCATAACTCCACTCACAGCCTACAGTTTTCCTTGGCAGACATCCACATTCCTGGTGTCTCCAAATTCCTGGGGTTTCTGCTTGAACTTCTGTCATTTCCACAGCTTTATTACTGTTCTTCTTTCTGGTACTCCTTGCTTGATGTCCAAGCCTTCCTCAGATATCTGGGTGGAGATCTGCCTGGCCCCACAAATCTTGCATTCTACATGTTGGTTAAACCAGCACCACGTCACTGTCTCTGAGATATACAGCAGTGGAGACAGTATTCAGGCCCCCGTGGACTGTGGCAGCCGTGGCTCCTCAGCGCTGCCTGAGTGAGCACAGTGAAAGGAATCCCAGGGAACTGACTGTCTGAGCCCCCTCTCCAGCACGGCTCTCAGCAAGCCCTTCGCATGTGAAAGGTGGACACATGTGCGCCTCTGAGGCTGCACTTGGAGGGGTCCTTCAGTTCCTGAAATGCACTTAGCTGCTTTTCTTCTTGTTCCTGTAGAGCGTGGCTGCTTTCATACAAGTGGCACTAGTTGTCACACTTCCTTTGGCCCCAACTTTACGAGTGGCTCTTTTCAAGTTACAATTTAAAGCTTTCAGATTTTCCTGCTGTGCTTTTGTTCCTAACACTCCCTCCAAATTTAGCTGAGAGCAGCTGGTAGCATCTGTGTCACAGCCTGGGCTCTCATGAAGTTTCCTTTACACTCAGCCTCCTGAAACATTTTAGGACATGAGAAAAATGTAGATGCTATTTTTTTCCTTTTTTTTTGAATGGACCAAAATGTATAAAAGGTATTGTGAAATAGGAAGAAAACATTAAAATGGGGAGGGGGACAAGGGAGAGGTAAGGGGAAAGGAAAGAAAAAAATGAGTAAAGAAGGAACAATGGAGTACATATCTTGTGCACAGGGACGGGTGTAAGGCAGGGTGGGAGAGCGGGGAAGAAGGAGCAAGTCGTATCGTGTGCAGGACGAATTCTTTATGATGAGTGTGATCATTATGTATATGTAAATGTAGTCCCAATAAAATCTGATTGGAAATGGAAAAGAAAAAAGAAAAATGAGAACAAATTCTTGTTCTTAGTTAAATCACGACTTTATTGTCTGCATTTTTTATCTGCATTCAGGCCTTTGGGGGTTCTCACAGAAGTTCTAGGACTTCTCTAGTGTTTGTATCCAAGTATTTGCAAACATCTTAGGTGGTCAGGCATAGTTACAGCCACAAATCCATTCTTGGTAATGATTTCCTGTGATGAATAGCCTCAAAACCACAGCTTGAAGGAGGAAAGGCCCGTCTGAACCTGACATCAGGAGGTGCGTGGCTGGCTCCAAGGAAGAGCAGCGTGGCCCAGGGGCATGGCTAAAGAAACCCACTTAATGTATGGTGGCCTAAAAAACAAAGCAGGGTAACAGTGTCATTGAAGGAGGGGCTGGGGCCACAGTAAGTGACCACGTCCATGTGTCTATGAACACCCTGATGTGTCCAGAGGCACATCTCACTAGTCCTGTGCTAAGCAAGTGGACAAAATTAATGGACCTTACATATGCCTTGGAATAATATTAAATTCTCATCTAAGGAATTTATCTTTCCTCTTTTTTCACCCTTTTCCTTTTATTTCTGCCTGTCTATTTTAATTATTAATACTAGGTGCGAGATATTACCTTGTTTTGACTAGCTAAAACTGTTATAGACCATGTTAGCCCTAAAAATGTAAGATTGGTCCTTTCTTCTACGTCTGCTGCGCATTTGTCGTCAGTGGTCTTTCTGAAGCTGAGGGGGACAGCTGTGCCTTCTCGCGATAGGCAGGGCTTCTCCCGGGGACCATGACATCAACTGCTTGTGCTTGGAACACAACATCCAAATGAGCAATGGCCACCTGAAACCCTACACATGGAAATGGGATCATAGCCAGAAAGTCAGCACATTTTTCCTAATTTTAGAGGATAGAAATCTCTAAGCTGTATAGATATTCTTTCTGATTCCAGCACCGTTAAAAAGGAACAAGCAGATAGAACACATGTCTTGAGAGGTTTGCTAGGTATCACTTGGAAAGAGAGTGCGTTACTGGGACTTGCTCACATATGCTTTATCATTATTAGTTTGGAAGTAGGAGAAGCACATTTGCAGCTTGCAAATACAGCTATTGATTGACCTGTCATGTCTTGGCTACGGTTGGCATGATGGGGAGAAAGATCACAAGACGGCATTTTAGAATCACATTCAGGTTATCACTATGAGTCTTTCCAGGGAATCTCCAAACGCAGTGGCAGCCTGAGTCTAAGAACAGCAGCGATGGGAAAGGAGCTCAGGGGTGGTGCCCAGGAGCATCATGGGAGGTGACGGCCCAGGACTCAGGTGCAGAGGGGCCCCAGCCGCAAGCTTTATGGTCTACAAAGCTGTGTTTGCTATTTGCATTGTTTCATCACACACACACACACACACACACACACACACCAGAGTTATTAATACATTGCACAGATGTATTTTTCATATATTTAGCATTATGCAGTTTGTTTAAAAGCTGACATGTATAAACATTTATATTTGTATCTCAGAAATAATTGGTGTTTTCCATTTTTAATATATTGTAGCTATTGTGTATTTCGCATATTTTTAATTTAATATAGTCATGAACATTTCATGTATACCTAAACTTTCTATATTTATCCTTTTAACTCTATTCAAAGAATCAGTGGAGGAGGTGATTTCACTTTTTAGCCATTATTATTTTCATATGTGAGTTATTTGATATGTCTCTTTTTCTAGGTCTTTTTCATGTAAACATTCCCCCACATTATTTCCTTCCTCCTGCGCTCCCTCCTTCCTTCCTTCCTCCCTTCTGCTCATCCATTTATCTATCCATTTATTTGATCATTCATTTGTTCTTTTTGCTTTCTTTTAACTGGAGCTCAGTCAACCCTGGATGCTACAGCTAGAGTTTTATGAGAGTTGACAGAACTCACTTCATAAAATGCTAATGACATTTAATTTTGTATGTTGAGGAACATCATCAAAGAGAGAAATTCATAATGACAACATCCCTGAAGAGGAATCCTCAAATCAACTTTGTAAGGGCCAGCCAAATAGCTCAGTGGATTAAAGCACCTGCAAGCAGGCACAGGGGCCGGGGGCTCCATCCCCAGGCCTGCCCTGTGGGCCCTGCCCCAGGGGCATGCTGAAATGGCGATTGAGACTGGGCATGGTGGCATGTGCCTGTACTCCCAGCTCTTGGGAGGCTGTAAACAGGTGGATCACTACGAGTCCAATTTAGTAGTGAGACTCGGAATACCCTGTAGACCCTCCCCTGAGAAAAAGTACAAAAAAACTCTTTGTATAGATAAACATGTAGGCACAAATGTGTACATGCCTGTGTATGTGCATGCAGATATTTGTGTGTATACATGCATACATGTGTGTATGTGTACTTATGTGTGCAGGGCTTACATACCTCTTTGCACATGAGATAGACTGGTGGTTTGGTGATGTCACTTAGCTGACCGCTGAGCTTGAGACAGAGATGGGTATGTGCGCTGAGCTGAATTCCTTCTGCATGTGCCCGATGCAGCAGGACTGGTAACATGGCCCCTTGGCCTTGGACTAAGGGGACAGCAAGCATCTACCAATTTGGAGTCCAGGTGCTCTTCTGTCTGAGAGCCTTGAAAGGCAGGAGAGAGGGAACCATCTTGACCTGAGAGGCCTCCTCATCGTGGTGCTGTTTGCTGTCCAGGCCACTCCAAGGCAGCAGCCCCTTCCTGCACCACACCGCGCCACACCGCACTGTACCGCAAGGCTGCTGGGCAGGAATCGCAGCTTCTTCTGGAGCCTGGGTGTGGAGCGAGCACTGCAGCCTGGAAGGTCACGGGAAGTGGCACAGCACTGTCACGGTGGCCTGAGCTGTGTGGGGCTGGCTGCGCAGGTGCACTGGAGAATTAGAGAAAGCCTGCCACTTTATCTTTTAAGCTTCTCCAGATATACAATTTCATCTTTACCAGAGTTGAAAAGCCAATTTTCAAAACATGAGGAATTGAGTCCTTCATAGAAGGGGTATTTTATTTAACTGCAAATACATTTTTACAGCGTAAAATTTTAATACAAATATGCCTCCTTTTCTGTGATTTAAAGAAAGCTTTTACAGAAAATTAGTTCGCTCATATATTTAAGTAATGGAAAAATTGACAAATAATATATATTTACATGTATATAAGTCTCTAAATAATAAATTGAAAAATATTTGTATTCTGTATGCTTTTTGCACTGCCTGAGATCACCCCATCACTACTGCAGGTGAGGCTACACTCTTGCCCTCAAAATAAGATTGCTATAGGAACGAATTCATTTTAATTATTAACTGTTTGGTTGACACTATTTTTTTTTTCCCTGAACAGAGTATAGTCATTCCTGGTTTCTGATCAGTTGATACATTCTTGAGACATATGTGAAAATATAAGTCAGTGCTTAGTATAGCATGTAAGGGTGAAGTCTTAGATTGATGCTTGCTGCAGAATTCCTGCCGCTTTCTGAAGAGGTTATCTTCCAAAAGCATCCTTCTAGTGCTGACAAAAGTAACACTTGCAATGGGCAGGCTGGGTCTTGCCACAGTAGGACAACACTCAGATCTGCTCTTCATTCTCTAGTTATTCCTCTGGGGGCAACTCTTCTCTGGCCCAACTTTCCCACCAAATACCAAGTTTCAACTGCAGCTTGCAAAGAGGCCCGTGAATGCAAGCTTTGGCCTCCTCCTGGCTCCTGACTTCCTTGAAGGAGACCCTGCGGCAGTGAGAAGAGCCCTTGCGGCTCCATGCGATGGGCCACCCCTGCTGTGCTAAGTGTTCTCCTCAGGAGTGTGACCGGGGGGGGGGGGGGGGGACAGAAGCACATGTCTTTCTCTGAAATGTGTGGCTTAACATTTTACTCAGCCTTTTCTTAGTTTTGGTAGTGCTGGGATTTGATGAGGGCTTTGTGAGTGCAAGGCACCAACTCTCTACCACTGAACGGCATCCCCAGCCCTGCTCCGCACTTCAGAACATGGGAGAAGAGGCACAGAAGCTTCCAGCCACTACTGGTGAGGTTCATGCTGACGCCCTGAGACCTCACAGCTTGAGTGCTCTCCAGTACCTCGCTATGAAGCACATTTCACGTGCAGCACAGAGAAGCACCTCTAGCTGTGGTTTACAGGGGGGATCCCTTCAGGAAAACCATAGGGGACAGCCCTGGCTATGAGCCAGGACGTGCGCCCACGCTTGGCATCTGAGTTTTCTAGTAAGTCACAAATACATGCATCTGATGCTGAAATCCTGTTGATTTTCAGAACCATATATTGATGTATAGAAAAGTCAAAGCAAATGGCAGACATAAACTTACAAACTTCTTTAAATCACCAAAGATGTGAAAAAAAGAATATGTATTCCCTTCTGTTAGCATTTATCAAAATTTCTATTTATATTCAGTGACTTCAAATTTGTCCATATTCCCTGTTTTCAGTCCATGGTTTTAATGGATGAGACATGATTTACTATTTTCATATCTGTAAGTCTTCACAATGAATCATGCATATGTTTTTAGTAATTGAAATAATATTCAATTGGCATTAATCTTTGGATAAGGAGTCTGAAATCAGTTTCTTTAGCAAGGAAAAGTAGATAATTTTCCAGATTTTATAAAAGATAATCTCCCCACATAAATATTATCATGTATACAGTATTCCACTGCTGTGTTTAAGGGAAAAATACATGTTCCTAACGCGGCACACACCTTTGTGAGAAGTACCTCAGCATAGCTACTGTGTTCAAACCACATCAAATGTTAGCCTTGACTTCACAACTGCAGTAAGAGTGAAATGACAGAGGAACTTACACATATGACTTTTAGTGGAATGCAAAAACAAACTGACAAACAAGTTTATAAAAATGTTTCAGTTTGTACTGGAGAATTTTTGATTTCTTGGGGCAAGTGATACATCCGTTTAACTTCCTTCTGCCTTTACCTCTCGCTTTGAGGACATTTTCACAGCAGATGCAAACTAGTATTCCTGTGCAAGGATGGTGACGGCGGGCACAAAGAGCCAGGCCCCCAGACATTCGCAGGGAAGTCGTCCTGCAGCGGACTTGGAGCCGCTGTGTTGCAAGCTGCCGGCCATAGAGGCTGGGGATTCTGCACCTTGGGTCCCGGGGATGTTTGTGGTGAGCAGAGCGGGCTCTTGAAGACATCTGGGGAGAGGGGGCTGCCACGTACTGTCAGCCTCACAGACGACCATACTGTCTCCGTGGAGGAAGAAGCCTTCCCGGCACTCGAACGTGACCGTGGCTCCGTAGAAATGCTTCGCCCTGAATCCTGACATCTGTCTCCCATTGGGGACCACGGGATGCAGACATCTGACCACCTTGCACTCGGGGGGGCTACCGCTCCACACGTTCCTGCCCATGCAGTGAAGACTGGACTCCCCAATCAGGGAAAACTGGTCACCGCCAGGATTGTGGTCGCAGGAGTACGTTACGACTTCAAGAAACTCAAACACATCCTTCTTGCTCAGGTAGCCCCCGTTTGCTATGTCTGGCGGTGGTTGGCACAAAACCTTCTCACACACTGGGGCTTCACTGCTCCATTGCACACCGGAGCCGCTGAGCTCACAAACGAGAATCTCATTTCCAATTAGGTTGAAACCTCTATTACAAACAAATTGAATCTCTGTTCCAAACTCATAACTTCCATTGAGGAAGTTTACTTGTCCATTCAGTGGATCAACTGGAATTGTACACAATTTTTTATAACAAGCATCATTTGAAAGAGGCGGCCAGTTATCCTCTGCACTGCACATGGTAAACATGGCTTCCGAAGGCCTTCGCTTGTACCCGGGCTTACACTGATATTCCACTCGTTCCCCAATATCATAAGTGTCTTTGGCAATGCCAGTGAGCTCCATATTGGAATATGAAGGGGGCCTACCGCAAGTAGCAGAGCTTGGAGAAGGCAGGAGCCCCAGGCCCAGCAGCAGGAGCCACAGGAAGCCCTGGGAGGGAAGGAGGCTGTCACAGAGCTGGGGTCGCGCCATGAGCTGCAGGACTAGCAGAGCGCGGGACATGTCAGGCCCTGCTGAGCGTGGGCAGTGCCAGGCTCGGGGCACAGGGCATGTGGTGGGGAGGGCGTGGCCTGGCTCCGCCCAGGAGGACATCACAAGACCAAGAGCAGGTCGGATACTGAGCTAGAGGCAGCATTGTTGATGTCACCTGCTCTCTTTGGGGTGGAGCCCCGAGTGAGATGGGACCAGATCCCGCGACGTTTGCCTCGAACAAACCTTCAGTCCCGTGTGTGTGGGCGATGCCCAGGCGAGGACCTGGAAAGACCGAGACGGGAGAGAAGCAGTGGCTGTGCACGACGCCTTCTTAGCAAGACGGTGCCATCCCGGGCGGCCTTGTCAGCGGCCGCTGGGACGGGTCAGCTGGGCGCCGGCGCACACAGCAGCACCTCTTGGCTCTGCGGGCTTGCTCCCTGGAGCACCGCCTCTGCAGGTGAGCAGGGGCAGCCGAAGGGGTGGAGCCCCGAGGTGTGAAGCTGGCCGAGCTGGGCCTGGGCAGCACCCCTGCGCGGGGTTCCTCAGGTCTGCATTTCAGGGCGTTGTTCTTGGGCTTGGTGCCCCATGTTTGGGGCGCTTATTGCTTCGCTCTCCTGCCTAGGAATCCCGAGGAGCAGGAGCTTGAGCTTGAGACCTTCTCCTGATGGCTGCGTCCTTCCTGGTGCTCGTGACAGGAGCACAGGGCCGTGTGCAGGGCAGGTCAGCTGGGCTGTGTGCTCTTCCTGGGAAAGCTAAAGTCGTGAGACAGGGAGGGGAGGGGCCCGAGGAGGCCCAGGCTCTCAGGGCGGCTCTGTAACATTTCTTTAGCTTCTTTCCTTTACATTCTTTCCGTAATAAATCTCCCTGAAACATATTTGCCCTTTCTTGTGTCCTGTCCTTTTCATTTCTTCTTATGGAAGCTTAAGAAGGGAGCAGTCGCTTTCACTTCACCACAGGACGTGGATTCTGCCCCTCCCCCCCCCGGACCGGGCTCTTCTCCAGCCTGCCCAACACGGGTCCCCTCCCCTGGACGAGTCCCCCCCGCCCCCACCCCACCACCCCCTTGGATTTGCTCGCTGCCTGTACCCCGTAGCCAGCAGCTCCAGGCGGAGAATCTGCAGCCCTCTGCCTGGACTCTGAGGCCGCCCTGCTCCAGATGAGCCCGGCTCGGATCCTGCACGCGTGCATTTCATCTCAGCGGTCCGCGTTGCTGTCTGCACGCAGCCTGAGCAGCTGCTGCCGTCGTTCCAGACCACATCCTACGTCTAGTCGGTCTTACAGATTTTCCTGCTAAGCAAGATGTGTTCCAAAGTTACTCTGAACCTCGGTAATCTTGGGAAATTCTGCTCCCCACCCTTTTCAGAGCTTGTGTTAGCATTACCAGTCAGAGTTTTGTATTTCTTCCAGGAGCTTGCCTCTACGGTGAGATCTGACATCGGCCTCTTTCACCTTCTTCAGGCTTACTGAACTACAACTAACGAAAGTGTGTATGTTTACATGGACGCTGTACTTCAGGACACTTTTGGGCAGGCTGGAGAAAAGCACACAGTCACCGCCATCCTATCATTGTGGTGTGTGTCTCTCGGTGCTGCTTTGTGTTTTTGCTGTTCGCTTGAACCTCCAGGCTTGCTTACCTGCACTGAGGAGGGGCACACAGTCCCGGGAACACTCTGCCTTCCTTTCCTGAAGGTTAAGTAGTATTCCCTTGAATGTGTATGACATTTTCTTGATCCTCTTCCCTCTCAGTGAGCCCTTAGGAACAGAATTACGGGTTCATTTGGGGTTCTGTTTTGAATTTTGAAGAAAGCTCATCACTGTCTCTGGTAATGGTTGTAACAGTTGGCATTCCCACGCACAGGGAGCAAGGGTTCCTGCTGCCCGGTTCCCTCCCTGCAGGAATTACCTCCATCAACTTCAGGAAGGGCTGTTCTATCAGGTGTGAAATCTCTGTCATTTTGGTTTAAATTTCCCTTAATGTTAGAGGAAAGGAGAAACTTTAAGTACTTCTCAGACCTTTTTTGGTATGTGTTATTTTTGGAAACTTTTTTTGGAGTGCTTTACTAAAATTTTATTTTATGTTTTGTGATTGAGTTATTTGGATTCCTTATATATTTTGGGTTTTAATCCCTCATTAAACATGTGTGATTTGCAGATATTTTCTTCCTATGACAAAGGTTGTCATTCCACACAGTTTTTCCTTTTCTTTTCAGTAGATATTTAGCTTGCTATTATCAGATTTGTTTACTTTTGTTTTATTGCTCATGGCTTTGTAATCAAATTAAAAAACTTACTGAGTCTACAGACATTTTATGGTATATAGACATTTTATAAAATTAATTATTTAATCAATGAACATGGGGTATTTTCCCGTTTGGGTCATTTTTAATTTATTTCATTAACATATTATACCCTTAGGGGTCAGGTGTTCGATCCTGGGGCCTGCTGTGCTGGCCTTGTCCCCAGGGCACGCTGAGACAGCAATTGAGACTGGACATGGTGGTACATGCCTGTAATCCCAGCTCTTGGGAGGCTCTAAACAGCAGAATCACTATGAGTCCCATCTAGTAATGATACCCTGAACACCCTGTAGACCTTTCCCTAAAAAACACAGAAAAAAATTATACTCTTTATGTCTGCTTTTCACCTCCCTATTAAATACACACACACACACACACATTATTCTAAAACACATCTTGTTAATTTCTTTTGCAAGTTGTTTTTAGCCTGTAGAAACAGTACATTTGTGTATACTGATTTTGTGTCATGCAACTTTACTAAACTCATTTAATAATTGTAATATTTCTGATAGAGATTTTTGATCATTTATATATATTAAATAATGTTACATACAAATGGAAATGATTTTACTTACTAATTTTCAACTTTGATGCTGTTTAATTCTTTTTCTGGCATGGGGTTTCCAGCAATGGTGAGCAGAATTGTCCACAGTGCATGTCCTTGCATTCATTGCTCCTGATCAAATCAGTCACCTTTCCATTGCAGACAAAATCCCTGACATGCATCACTCCACAAAGAAAAAGTTTCATGGTTTTAGAGTCCTTTTTTGGTGGGGTGAAGGCAGAAATATACAGTTAAGCTGTGTTGGAAGAAAGATGCTAAGCTTATGACACCTGGGAGACAGCAGGTTAAGAATGAAGAGGTGGCTGGACACTTGGGGGCAGGGTGTATCCTTCCAAGCTGTGTTGCTGCTGACCTCCGTCTTCCCCCTGATGCCTACTTCCTAATTAATGCATCAGGCTGTGAATTCCTCCATAGGCACTCATCCGCGGACATGTTCCTCACCTTCAAGACCAAGTGACCTGTCTGCGACCCACCAGGAACACTGCTGTCCTGGGAATCCAGCCCCCTTAGATGGGTCTTTTCAGAGAGTGATGTGTTTAGCAATCTTACCCTTCCCATCCCTGGGAATGATGCTGGCTATCAAATTATCATATATGGACTATTTATCTTGACTAACATTCCTTCTATACTTAGTTTAGTCAGAATTTTATTATGAATGCATGTTAATTTTATACAGTACTGTGCTACTGAGCTATATCCCTATGTCGAAGCACTGTTAGGACTTTATCTGCATCTATTGAGATAATGATGTAACTTTTATGGATTGTGCTTATGTGTAGTATCACACTGATTTGTATGTGTTGTGATTTGATTTTTGTTCATGAACTCTTCACCTACCCTTATATCTTTAAGAGTTCTTCCTACTTTCTCTTCCAGGAGATTTAGTGTTTCTGTTTTAATGTTTAGATCTTTAATCCATTTTGACTTTAGCTTAGTTTATGGTGATAGATCTGGGTCAAAGATTATTATGAGTTCTCTGAATACTTAGTGAAATACCCTTATATTTTCTTCCAGTAATCTTATAATTTGTATACTTGTGCCTCTAATCCATTTTGAATTAATCCTCAATATGATGGGTGATAGGGTTCTTATTTCCTTCTATGCATAGAGGATTTGATTTTTCCAAACCACCTGTGGAAAATCCTGTTCTTTCTCCCCAGTATATGTTCTCAGTATCAGTTCCTCCACTGGAAATCACTTGGCTATAGGAGAGTGGGTTTTCTTCTGGACTACATCCTGTTTTCCATGACCTGCATGATGTTTTTCTTCAAAATCACCTTTATTTTGCTTTTAAGTGAAGTAGAGGAACATTCACTGCCTTATTCTTTTTGCAAGGTGGCTTTGGTATTCACAGTTTTTTGCTTTCACGTAAAGTTTCATATAGCATTTAAATTTTTTAGTTCTGGGAAGAGTATCATTGGTAGTTTGACAGGGATGACATTCAATATCTAAATTGCTTTGAGTAGTGTGAATATTTTTAAATTATTATTGCTATTATTATTATTCTTTTGCATTTAGTACAGGGGATATAGGACTAATAGATCAGACTTGTGTTCAGCCTGTGTTCAGCCTCCCAAGTGCTGGGATTACAGGCACGTGCCACTATGCCCAGTCTCAATCACCCTCTCAGCACACAGATTGAACCCCGTCCACTGTGTTCCTCCTAAGCAGATGCTTTAGTCCACTGAGCTATCAGACAAGCCCTTTAAATTATTTTTTAATCCATTAACATAGGATATTTTTCTACCTTTTTGTGCCCTCTTTAATTGATCTCAACCTTTATTCCCCTGATTTTTATTGTAGAGTAGATTTGGTTAACTATTCTTAGCTATTTTATTTTTGTAGTTATTATATGTTTTTGAGATTGCTGCTGTCATATAGTAGCATTAGAGTTTTGCATATTAAATTTGCATTCTGAAAAGCCAATTAATTTATTAGTTCTCATAAACTTTTTACTGAATTTTTAGAATTTTCTGTGCATAATTATGTCATCTGCAAGTAGTTGCAAT